TGGAAAATTTAAGGAGTTATTATTATGTACGTTTAGATGATACAACCGGTAGGATACTTTTGCACGTTACTGTATTAGCCATTACGTATACTAATATGAGTTGCCACAATAACCACATGTATAGACGAATATTCCCAATACTCTATGTATTCCTTCTAAGATACAGGGAGCTTAACCCAATGAGCGTAGTGTTATTGATTTCTTAGTTCAGCAAATTAAGTATTAACTCTTCGCTTGGCATTGAGGGACTTAGTCGCAACGGAATACAAGTAGACTCATAGAAAACGTAACATGTCATAGGCTGCCCTAAATGATATCAGAGTTAGCTTCCAGTTCAGTAAATTATCCATTATGAACCAAGCCAGTTGAATAATTTGGGTTCTCTATTCCATTAATAATGGCATTGCTAAAGTTTTTATACATAGCTAATGCTTTCCAGAATCTGATTCATGCTCTCGTCTGGAATGCATTTCATCAAACATTCAAGAATGGCTTCATTCATTGCACCCTTTTCATTGTACCCTTTCCCTAGCAATTCGCCTATATCTATTTCTTCTGGTACTTCTGCAAATCATGTTGAGAAAGCATATTCAGTGCCATCTTCCTTGAAAATATCTTTCACCTTCTGAATTCCGTTTTGCCACACTATCTGATGGCCTTTATTATCTGGAAATTGAACCTACCAGTGTCTAAGTCACAAAAATTTTCTGTATTAGTATTTTCTGGCTTGTTACTACAAGACAATTGCAGAAGAGCTTGGCATGGTTTTTGTCGCATTAGATCCATATGCTTATCAAGATCTTGAGTTTTTAGGGGACTATACCTGCATCCCGGAATCTGGTTAATAATATTATGGGGTAAATGGCGACTTTTTAAGTTTTTTTTCAGGTGCAATACGTTACGTTTTCGATTTTTTTCCAGAGTCACCTGATGTACTAGCAAGTGAGGGCATTAACAGAGGTGTTTAACAAGTGTCTTACTATTTCAGTAAGTTCAAGAACAGTGCAGTGTACTTTGCATAATTATGAGGTTTATAGTAGAGTTGCAAAAAAAAAAAGAGCCATTAGTAACTGAGAAAAATAAGAAGATACATATAGAGTGGTGTAAGAGGATGGAGAATTGGAAGGAAGAATGGGATAGGGTAGTTTTCAGCAATGAGTCAAAATATCTAATATTTAAAAATGATGCTCATAAGCTCGTCTGGAGGAGGTGTGATGAAAAGTATAAGCAGGACTGCTTAG